TCTGTCGGCCCCAGTGCCGAAATTGTAACGCCTCTGTAAATATGCTGTACATAAACCTTGTTTAACTCACCGTCGTCTCGTCCGCTCGTCTTATCAGCTCTGCGCAGAAGCAGTCGCGAGCTGATAAACATACGCTACCAAACGGCTGGTGACCTTCCCGGCGGAGTTGAAAGCAGTGGCGCCTCCGGGGCCGTGTTGGCGTCGCCGTCTTTCGCAACAGTGGTGGCTTCGGCGGGATCGGTCCGCCGTTTCTCAACAGTGGAGGTCAGCGGCGGGATAGGCCCGGCGCTACGCAACAGTGGTTGGCAGCTGCGGGATCGGCCGGCGTCAGCGACATCGATGCGGTGAGTGCCTGATGTTTTCCCCTCAGTTCACCAGACTACTCTAGCTCAGGTTGTAGTAGTTTAGAGAAGGGCTGTGTGAAGCATTAGAGTGAGCTTTGATCGTTTCAAGCAAAGTCGAAGTGCTTTGAAACCAAAGTTAATGCGGAGGGGGTAAACACGGGAGAGTGACAAGTTGCTTGCGCGTCTTGCTAGTTGACTTATAGTGGGTACGGCAAGTAAATTGTTAACAGGGGAAACAGCAAGAGGCTAGTGTGAACGATGGAGAACCTTAAAGTGAAGGAACTCATCGAAATTTGTGAGGAACTCGGCATTACTTTGGGCCGTGCGAAACGAAAGCAAGCGATCCTTGAGATCATGAAGGATGAGGGAGTGTCGGCTGAGGAAGTCGATGAGGCCTGGGTGGATATCAAAGCACGCCGTGAGGAGGCTGAAAGGCGAGAAGTAGAAGCTCGCGAACGTGAAGAAAGGCGCGAAGCTCGCGAACGTGAAGAAAGGCGAGAAGCTCGCGAGGAGGCCGAGAGACAGGAGCGCCTCGAGATGAAACGAATAGAATTGGCAATCCTACAGTGTTCGCAGGCGCCTAGCGTAGCTTCTCCGACGAGTCAGGTCAGCGGTTTTAGAATTCGGGACCAACTGCCACCGTTCGTAGTAGGCGAGGACATGGCGAAGTACCTCGTCAAGTTTGAACACGTCTGTGAGCGAAACGCTTTGGAGCGGTCTCTTTGGGCGCAGAACCTGTTAGCTCTTCTTCCCGGCGAAGTGTCCGACGCATTAACTTGCTTGTCTAGGGAAGCGTTTGAGAGCTATGACGAGGTTAAGGAAGTGCTCTTGAGACGGTACAAGTTGTCACCCGAGGCTTTCAGGCAAAGGTTCCGGTATGCTGAAAAGGGGAATGAGTCACACGTTGACTTCGCGTTTCGTCTTAAAGCCGATTTAATTGAATGGCTCAAGGGCGAAGGTGTTTATGATGATCGCGATAAAGTGGTGGAATGCGTTGCATTGGAGCAATTCTACCGCTGCATCGAGGATAATGTCAGACTTTGGCTGCAGGACAGACTTGGGGAAGTACAGTTAAATAAGGCAGCTGAGTTAGCTGAGGAGTATTATACTCGCCGAAAGTTGCATAGCAGGGCAGTGCGCGTTGAAAAGGATGAGAGAAAAGAGAGCTTTTCAAGGAAACCTGATCAACGGAAACCCGTTCCGCACCGTAATTTCAAAAAGGACCCATCTCTTACTAAGGACAGTGTAGGGGAAGGGCAAGCAGAAGCGGAGAGATCGAGTGAGGTTTCTACCACACAGGCATTTGAATCGGACAACAAACGGAAGCCGCTAATCTGCTACAACTGTAAAAAGGAAGGGCACATCGCGAGAAACTGTCAGGAAAAATTTGCCTTCGCAACGATCCGAGAATCAGAAAAAAACATTCGGTTGTTGGAGCCGTATCTCCAAGAAATTAGGGTCAACGAGAAAACGTGCCGAGCACTTAGAGACTCAGCGGCAACCATGGACGTTGTCCATCCTTCATTGGTGTCTCCGGATGACTTCACAGGAGAATGCGCGTGGATTAGGCAAGTCGCCGAGGTGCAGAGTGTTCGCTTACCAATCGCCACGGTTGTCATTGAAGGCCCGTTCGGTAAGCTTTGCACCGAAGCAGCTGTGTCTGCCGCGCTAAATGATCGTTTTCCTTATCTCTTCTCCAACAACTCAGAGCAGCTTCTCAGAGAGCAGGGTAAATCGTTCTTCCCCAACTTAGCGTGCATGGCTCTCACGCGATCGCAAGCGCGAAAGCTTTCGCGGAAGCTTGACTTGGTTCCATGCGGTGAACTCTCAAGTGACCTTGTCGGCGGGTCGACGGAACCCCAGAAAGGAAATTTTCCGCATGAGTCATGTGAGCAGTCACGCGAGCGGCCCGTCGCGGGAACGGCCGGCGCGGTATGCGCTGGGGGAGACGACGTGGCGCCATTGAGTCAGAGCGAGAGGGTTGCAACGCTCTCGCCTGTAGCGGAAAGTTGGAGCGAGCTGCCGAGAGTTGATCGAGAGACGCTCATTGGAGAGCAACGTGAGGATTTCTCGATTGAAGCGCTAGTGGAGAGCCAAATTGAAGCGCGAGTGGAAAGCCAGAAAAACGCGGCAAAAGTGCTGTCGAAGGAGCACTACGAGGAATCGGTGAAGAAGCGTGCTTTTGAAGTAGGGAGTCAGGTAATGCTACTGCAGCCATCCAAAAGGAACAAGCTTGAGGTTGATTGGGAAGGGCCCGCCAAAGTATTATCGAAGCCTTGCGATACAACTTATGAAGTGAAATTAGGAAGGCGGCCGGACAAAATTTACAACTTGATGAAACCATGCGTTCAACATCAAGCGGTCGTAAATCTGTTGTTGAATGCTTCAGAGGAAGAGGAAGCAGAAATTTTGAGTTCTAGTGAGGTAATCGAAGGGGGATCGAAAGTAATCCGGGAGCAGATAAACCTAGAGCCTAGCTTAAGTGAAGAAGGACCTGAGAAAGAGGACCTGAGAAAGATTGTTTCCGAGTTTGGGTATGTGTTGTCGGACCGTCCCGGAGACACGACGGTGATCGAACACGATATCGAGCTAAGCGGTGAGGAGTCAATCAGTAGCAAGCCGTATCGTTGTTCCCCTGTGCAACGTCGAAAGTGTGAGCCGCTCTTGGTGCCGCATAGGTATCGTCGCCTAAAAGTGGCCGGTTACTGAAGTGGAGCATGTTGCTCCACAGCGCAACTTTGACGTTCGCTAAAGAAAAAAAAAAGGGAAGGTAAACGTTAATGCAGGTGCATTGAGCAGTGCGTTTAGTTAGTACCTTCTCAACCTTTCGGTTTCTGGCTGGCGATTCGGGGCAAAATTTTGACCTCATCACGACCTGGCCTGAGCGCTCTCGTTCAGAGTGATCTCAAGGGGCCAACTTTATGTGGTATTCTAATCCGTTACGTTGTTGTACGTGAAAAAAAAATTGAGTTGTCATTTTAGGGGTCTTTTGTCCCACATGTGCCTCTTGATGTAGAGGGAACAAAATTCCGATAGACACGTAGATAGGTATATGTTGTACTATACTTTGTCTGGTGTTCTGTCGGGTGACCGAGGGCACTTGCTTGTGTCGTGTGTTGTCTGTTGTCGAACCGTTCTTAGCAAGTTGCAGAACCATCGACAAGTGCTGAACCCGAAGATGGTCAGAAGAGACGAGTGAAGCTGGTCAGCAAGTTGTGGCGACAAGCCAGTGGAGCTGGGATCCGTCGTCAAAAATGGATGTGTTCCCGGACCAGTCTGGAGCTGTATTCTCCCCATGGCCCTGGAGGCGAACCTGGAGGGACCAGGCGAACGAGCGCACCTGACATCCGAGCCCCGTGGAAGCAGCTCGTCTTTCCGGTGCATTGTCTGGCGGCGGGGGTGCTGTTATGCCAGCGAGTCCTCGTCAAACGACCGTGCCTCTGAAAAAGGCAATCTGGGTCAAGGCCAGCCCGCCGTCTGCCCGACGCGAACATCTCAACGGCGTGAACACGCGCGGCGCCTCTCTCGCCCACGTGCATTGAGTCATCGGCGCACGTGACAGCGAGCCGGCGTTCTCGTGCCTGGTGGTCTGACGCATGGCGCGGCGACCCCCCATTGGCGGAATCTGCTCAGACGACCCGCGGCGCTTCTGATTGGACACTTTGGTTGGACCCGGTGCAAATAAAAGAAGCCCTGCGGCGCGTCGCGATCGGCGGTCCTATGTGAGAGGCGTCCCCGTGTCGGAGTGCCGACATGTGTGTGAGTCAGCGGTCTTAGGTGAAAGACTGACCTATGTGTTAGAGAGAAGAGCTCGGCTCTTCGAGTCTCTGTCGGCCCCAGTGCCGAAATTGTAACGCCTCTGTAAATATGCTGTACATAAACCTTGTTTAACTCACCGTCGTCTCGTCCGCTCGTCTTATCAGCTCTGCGCAGAAGCAGTCGCGAGCTGATAAACATACGCTACCAAACGGCTGGTGACCTTCCCGGCGGAGTTGAAAGCAGTGGCGCCTCCGGGGCCGTGTTGGCGTCGCCGTCTTTCGCAACAGTGGTGGCTTCGGCGGGATCGGTCCGCCGTTTCTCAACAGTGGAGGTCAGCGGCGGGATAGGCCCGGCGCTACGCAACAGTGTCCACTTTTTTAGGAGCGAACTTCCTTAAGGCGTGGGCTCAGCGTCCCGTCGTAATCGTATGCAGCCACCTCTCGTAACTTGAACCGGCCGTAGGGGGCGGTACTTGTACATATAACGAAATGCAAATACGCTGAAAAATGCAAATGGTACGATACTAGAGGGCGTTACTTGTAGTATGATAAGTGATAAGAATCACAGTATATCTATGGAGTGAATTATGATGAGTGGGGCGAAACGTTCGTGAGTCCGTCCATGCTTCCGTGCGTCCGTACGTCTGCTTCGCCCCACTCGTCGTCATTTTACCTTGTGAATATGCGGTGATTTCTTGCTGAGGTTGCAGTTACATTGGCTGGAGTTGAAACAGTTTTTCCCAGCGTTTACCTGCAGGCAAACACAGACATTGCGCATATATTTTAAAAAATAAGTCGAGCCAATGACGACGCGGTACAGTGTTTTCTGTACTTATGCCAAATGGAAAACCGGCCCTCTTGACTGAAACTTCCATTTCCACATCGCACGCAGGCCCGGCACACGGGCCCCATGCTGTGGGTGGCACTTTTCCTGATGAGCAAGATGTCGCGCATCTTCAGCCGGTTCGTGCTGCTGGCGGTGGGCGCCCTGTACCCCGCCTACCTGTCATGCAAGGCTGTGCGCGCACGCAGCCCCCGCGACTACGTGCGCTGGATGATGTACTGGGTGGTGTTCGCCGCCTTCCTGTGCGTGGAGCCGCTGACCGACGTGCTGTTCGGCTGCTGCCTGCCGCTCTACGCCGAGCTCAAGATCGCCTTCGTCTTCTGGCTGCAGTCGAGCAGCACGCGCGGCGCCAGCCTGCTCTTCCGCAAGCTGGTGCTGCCCGAGTTCACCAGGCGCGAGAGCGACATCGACGCCCACCTCGGACAGCTGCACACCAGGGCCTCTCAGGTGCGCTCTCTCGCAAAACACATTGTCGGGCAACATGGGCTAGTCTGTGCATGCTACAAGAGAATTTCATGACGTGAACCACTGAGAATTGGCGAAAGAAAAGGGCGTCACTCGAAACTAACTTTATTATAGCAAAACCATTACCATGCCGCACATGCGCACTAACACACCGTGCGTGACATCGCAACTATGGGTAACGTTCAGTGCAAGTTCTAGTAAGGAAGCCTTTGAGTAACAACAACAAAATAAATTTCTTTCTCTTAACCCATTCTTTTCAGTGGTTTACATATAATTTTCTTGCAGTTTTGGACTAGCTCGTTTTCTTTTACTCACCGTGGTGGTCTTGTGGCTATTCTTCTCGGCTGCTGACCCTAAGGTCGCGGGATCAAATCCCAGCCACAACGGCCGCATTTTCGTTGGAGGCGGAACTTTTTGAGGCCTGGGTACTTGGATTTAGGTGATGTTGAAGAACGAAGGCCTCCATAGCGGCGTCTCTTATAAGAACGCTGAATCCCTACTATATATATATATATATATATATATGTGTGTGTGTGTGTGTGTGTGTGTGTGTGTGACGCTATGATGACTGGGTGACGTGGTGGCCTGGCTCATACCCCATGTTTATTCTATCTCTGACTTCTTCCTTCTCTACCTCTACTAACCATCACTTGATACGTCACACGATTCCCCCTCCCCCCGAAAGATGTCACCGTTTATAACCTACAAAAAAATTGAAGAAGGCAATAAACAGACAATGTCCAAATTCTCAGTATCACATGCCGACGGAGTTCCACAGTCTCTTTAAATCTTCAAGCCCGATGGAGCAGTCCGGTGAACTCTATAACAACTCTGGTGGGCGAGGCTGACTGTTGCGTTCCGGACAGAGCGGGATACACGTGGATACTGACAGTACTGCTAGAACTCTTGTTCGGGCTGACCAAGGTTGAAACGCCATGTTGCATCGGCAGCTCGGATGCCGTCGGGGTTGTATTTTTCGCCATGAATGGTGCAATCCTGATGTTTCTTGCTTGCGTGCTTCTCGACAGACTGTGATGGAGTACCTGAGTGCCTGCGGTTTACAAGCAGTGCTTCCGCGTCTTTCTCGGCGCTTCCTGTGGTGTTGAAGTCGGCGGAATAGCAGGTGCTGGGAGCGTTTCTTGCGACTTTTCTTTGTCCGAAAGTGTCTGACGTCTTGTTGGTTTGGAGATCTTATTTTTCGACGATCTTCAACTGGTGAACGCACTTCCATTGAATTTGGCGTTCGCCGATGCCCTCGTTGCAGTCTCTCTCGTTGTTTTCTGAGTTTGGGAACTTCGTTTTGCTTGCTTTGCTGGTGCTGCTCAGGAAATGGCTGTAGTGGCACCCGTTCCGGAATGGGGCATTCATTTCGTTCGGTGTTTGACGCGTCCTGTAGACAGCTGATGAATGGTGAACTGGTGTTTTGCTTGTCGGGCATAGTTGGCAATGCGTCATCATTGCTAGCATGCTCTTCAGAGGCTTCAGTGACGGGGTTCATTAAGGGCGCTTCCGAAAGACAACTGTGTACAAGGTTTGATGTATCATGCACTTCTGAATTTGTTCGATTGTTGGATTGGTGACCACTGCATGAGGGTACCATATGTGACGTCGCATCACCAGGTTGAAAATGCAGATTTTGGCAAGTCTGCGGTGCCGTGGAAATGAACTCTTGCGACAAAAAACATTCAGAGTTGACAGATAGTTCATCAGGGGCTTCTTCTTCGCGGCTCACTATGAGTGGTTCTTGCGCCTGGTAGCATGCGACGTTCGATGCGTCTGAACCTTCTGTGTTTGGAGTTTTTGGTGGCTGCGCACTGCACGGCAACGTTGCAACAGGGGTAGTTCGGTAAGGTTTGAGTTGTGAATGGCCCTCTTTCTGTGCAACTAACGATGTGAGCTGTTCTGGCGCATGAATCTGGGTGGTAAGTCCAGAGTTTGGCGTAGCATCGTCCGAGCTCCGCAGCTCTATCCCGACCATTGTGAGCGTGCTAGATGTGAGATGGACATTGTGAGTCACGAAAGAGCCAAGCGATGGAAAACCAGGAGGCGGGCCAAGTCTGCGAGATGGGGAGTAAGCTGCTCTAATGTGTGAAGACTGATTTTCACTCTTTCGTTGTTTGGTATTTTCCCCATGTGTCAGCTGGTCTACCATGAACAAGGCGTCCTTATGACACGAATAGTGACCGTTAGGAGCCTTTGAAGAGCTGCGTCGTAGAAAACCAGGAGGTGGACCATGTAAGCGAGACGAAGCATTAAAGGCATCCGTAGGGTGAGTGACGTCTCGTGTCGTATGTTGGTGCCACATCTTTGAAAATGCCGACTTTCGTGAAGAGAAACCTGGTGGAACGCCACGTTTCTTGAGAAATAAGCGTGCACTGTGATGGCCGAGTGTGGTTGTATGCAGATGGTCGGTAATGAGGAAGTCCTTGTCGTAGTCGTTAAAACGGGCAATCATCTCTTCCCTGATCTTTTGCCATGATTCGCCGTTTTCGAATATGTGTGTGAGGTAAAACTTGAATGCCTCACCGGAGATGTAGTCAGTGAAGTTGGTGATCATTTCCCGTTCCGACCATGATGCAGCGGTTGCGTGGAGCTCGAACAGGTCGAACCAGTCCTGTACAGGTCCATCGTCCGCTGCTCCGGTGTACTTGGGGATGGGAAGGTCGTCTGATGGTGCTGTCATAATGCTGGTCTTGGTGTAGTGTTGGGATGTACTTTCGTGGTTCACGTTCTGTCAATGCGTCTTGCTGAGACGTTCGGAGATGGTGGCTGGTTGATGAAGTGGCCGCCAGGTCTTCATCCTGCCGACTCGTGTGACGCTATGATGACTGGGTGAAATGGCCTGGCTCATACGTCATGTTTATTCTATCTCTGACTTCTTCCTTCTCTACCTCTACTAACCATCACTTGATACGTCACACACACACACACACACACACATATATATATATATATATATATATATATATATATATATATATATATATATATATATATATATATATATATATATATATATATATATATATATATATATATATATATATATATATATATATTGTTACGTAATATGAGACGGGACGTGACTATTTGCCAGTGTATTTACACAGATAAAATCTGAGCGCAGCACACAGAGCGAGCAAACCAGTCCCCTTCGTCTTCGTCCACACAATGGTTCACCCTTCATATGATAGCTACGTAGCATCACCCCCAGTTGTAAAAGCACCGGCTTGGTGCACTTTATACGTGTTCTTCAGAAGGAGGGCAGTATGGTTTCAGCCTACTGACGTGGACTACGTCACTGGGGTGTTTGCAGACAGGTTAGTCCCAGAGACTGGAATTACCTCATAGGTAACGTCCGTTACCCGTCGTATGATATGGTAAGGTCCCTTGTACTGAGATAGCAACTTCTCTGACAATACAACACGACTAACTCGGCACCAGAGAAGAACTAGCGAACCAGGTGAGAAGTCAACGTCGACATGCTTGCTGTCAGAGCTTTCTGGGTTGCTTGTGAACCCAACTTAGAGCTGGCAATTGACATGCATGGTCGGCATAAGCGATAGCATCACGTGCGTATTCACTCGGCGGAGGTATAGTAGTCGGTATAGTAGGGTGTTCAGTAAGGTTGGGTTACGGCCATAGAGCATATAAAAAGTGGAATAACCTGCAGTATCATGACGAGATGAATTATAGGCGAACGTCACGTGAGGTAGCGCTAGATCCCAGTCATGGTGGTCGATAACACATACATCGAGAGCATGTCCGTGAGGGTGCGATTCAGGCGTTAGGTCAGGTCATTTGTTTGAGGATGGTAGGAAGTGGTCAGTTTGTGTTGCGTTGAGGAAGAGCGCAAAAGTTCGTCGAGTACGCGTGACAAAAATACGTGTCCATGATCGGTGAGCAATTGCTGAGGAGCGCCATGGTGTAGAATTACATCGTGGAGCGAAAAATTGGCAACGTCAGTAGAAGTGCTAGTGGGGAGCTCTATAGTTATAGAAAACCTGGTCACATGGTCTATAGCAACAGCGACGCACTTGTTCCCGGAGTTTGATTCAGATAATGGTCCGAGGAGGTCTACACCAACACGAAAGAAAGGTTCGGTAGGGATGGAGATCGGTGAAGAGTTCAGCAGGGGGTGCGGCAGGTCGTTTTCGACTTTGGCAATTATCGCAGGAGGCAACGTAGCGTCTAACGGACCGCGCGAGACCACGCCAAAAGAAGCGGCGCCGGACGCGGTCGTACGTGCGACATACGCCCAAGTGGCCGGCAGTTGTTTCGTCGTGAAGCTCATCCAGGACCGCTGAACTGAGATGGTTAGGCACGACTAGAAGTAGTTCAAAGCCATCTGGCTGGACGCTACGACGGTACAGTGTGCAATTTAGGAGAACGAACATAAGGAGTGACACGTCATTAGGGTCAGATTCCAGACGCGCAATGAGTGACTGCAAGGAAGGATCGTGACGCTGTTCGTCACCAATCTGACGAAACCTAGACATGGACATGACGTTGCAGGCGCCAGGCTCGCCGACCGATTCATCTGTTTGGTCAACAGGGTAGCGGGACAAGCAATCGGCATCCCCTACTACCCTACTTATATGCGCCCTACCACTTCTGGACGTCCAGCCGCCACACCACCCAACTTTTACTCGCCGCCTCTTCATGAGCCTCTCTCCACTGACGCCTTCTTCCAGTCGCTGCTACGCCCACTCCCCGTCGCCGCTACGCCGCAAATTCCACTCTCCGCCGCCTCGGCGCTTTTCCTCGCCGAGCTTCTCAGAACGATCGCAGCAGGAAAACTAGATATTGCAGCTTATGGGGTTGAAGCTGCAAAACCTAACGACGCCCGGAAACCCTCTACTGACGCTACCCAGCACCTTCACCACAAATATGTAACGTAACATGAGACGGGACGTGACTATTTGGCAGTGTATTTACAGATATAAAATCCGAGCGCAGCACACTCAGCGAGCTGGAATATA